AGCACAATATAACTAGATTGAATGCTGTAGAATAATCACTCTGTCAGGGTATTTATTGCATCAAAAATGTATAAGCTAATTATAATGTAAACAATGTAGTATCTGTACATAGGTTCCATGCCACCAGTTAGAAGTATGATGATCTATATTCACAAGAGGAGGTATGAAATACAATGTATATGTGTGTTTTAAATCATTGTTCTAGTTACTGAGTAAATGTTGGGTTTCAGTTGATATTTTTACAGCATGAGCATTGAGCTTCCCCCCCCCCCCCCCTGTTTTTTTTGTAATTACAGAACATTTTTACTTCAATTTTAGTTAATACTTCATAACCTGGTATTTTCACTGCATTGTGAAGGGACCAGGACGTTATAAATTGAATGAAATATCTAAGAAATAGACCTTATCAAGTGCCAAACACACACAGGCTCCCCAGACACACCCAGGTGCAATGTTCCCTATGGTCTAGAACTCTGTATAGGATTTAGTAATAAGTTGATAAAAGATTTATGGCAGCAAATATCTCAAATCTAGTTTCTTCTGTGTGCTATTCTCCTTCTGCTTGTCACAACATTGGTAAATGCCATATATGTGACATAAGAAGCTTAAAAGGAATTAGTCCAACTGTCATGTCTCAAATGATATGTTGAATCGTTTGTTGGTAAATATACATTTACTAGTCTTGTATGATCCATGAATATGATATATGAATGAAATAGCATAATCAAAAAAGAGAAAAATGTGAAGTCAGGTATATAATTTAAACCTGAGTTTACTACGTGTATTATTTTTTTGTGAAGTAAAGTTATACCAGGTTAATAAAAGGTGTTATCTCATGTAATTAGTTAACTAAAGAGCATGAAAAGGTAAAAAACAAATATATTTAGTAATAAGCACAGATCCTTCTTGATATCTAGATTCTTTCATGATTCACAGAATATTGAAAAAGAAATGTGAATGATATTGCTTAGCTCTTGTTGTATTCCTTTTATATCCTGGTTGCATGTTTATTGAAATTTATCAATATTTTCCCCAATGATGACAACAAAATATTTACATAGATTTTGATTTGGAGAAGGGGGGTATATAGTGTGTGAAATCCTCTCAGTTTTACTATACTAATGTGCATCATCCTTTATGAGTGTTCTTGTAACTCACATTGAAGCTTATATCCATTTTTCCCAACAGTTTATAATTTTGTAATATATGGTAGGCAAGAAATACTGTATTCATTTAAGGATGAATGGTATAAGTACTGATGAAAATAACTGGACTGAGAATATCTTGTCATATATATATATATATAATATATATATATATAGATATATATATATATAGATATATATATATATAGTCAGAAAATACTTGCTGTTTGTGCTCTGATATCAAATGAAAGAGATTAATGTTGTAAAGCTGCATAGGGATATTGTATGTAGGGTTGTAAATTTTATGTGAAACTTCAACATTTACCTAGACAGTATAACAAAATCTGGCTCCTTTGTATGGCTCCTGAGAATGTGGGCATCTTCTGTCCAGCACAATATAACTAGATTGAATGCTGTAGAATAATCACTCTGTCAGGGTATTTATTGCATCAAAAATGTATAAGCTAATTATAATGTAAACAATGTAGTATCTGTACATAGGTTCCATGCCACCAGTTAGAAGTATGATGATCTATATTCACAAGAGGAGGTATGAAATACAATGTATATGTGTGTTTTAAATCATTGTTCTAGTTACTGAGTAAATGTTGGGTTTCAGTTGATATTTTTACAGCATGAGCATTGAGCTTCCCCCCCCCCCCCTGTTTTTTTGTAATTACAGAACATTTTTACTTCAATTTTAGTTAATACTTCATAACCTGGTATTTTCACTGCATTGTGAAGGGACCAGGATGTTATAAATTGAATGAAATATCTAAGAAATAGACCTTATCAAGTGCCAAACACACACAGGTTCCCCAGACACACCCAGGTGCAATGTTCCCTATGGTCTAGAACTCTGTATAGGATTTAGTAATAAGTTGATAAAAGATTTATGGCAGCAAATATCTCAAATCTAGTTTCTTCTGTGTGCTATTCTCCTTCTGTTTGTCACAACATTGGTAAATGCCATATATGTGACATAAGAAGCTTAAAAGGAATTAGTCCAACTGTCATGTCTCAAATGATATGTTGAATCGTTTGTTGGTAAATATACATTTACTAGTCTTGTATGATCCATGAATATGATATATGAATGAAATAGCATAATCAAAAAAGAGAAAAATGTGAAGTCAGGTATATAATTTAAACCTGAGTTTACTACGTGTATTATTTTTTTGTGAAGTAAAGTTATACCAGGTTAATAAAAGGTGTTATCTCATGTAATTAGTTAACTAAAGAGCATGAAAAGGTAAAAAACAAATATATTTAGTAATAAGCACAGATCCTTCTTGATATCTAGATTCTTTCATGATTCACAGAATATTGAAAAAGAAATGTGAATGATATTGCTT